GTTATTTTTTAGAAAAGAAAATATAATTAAATTAGGAATAAAACCTAATTGTTCTAATTATTTTTAATTATTTGCAAAAAGAATTAAAGTTATCTAAATTAACATCTAATTTAATTAATTAATTTTGATAAAAAATAAAATCTAAAACCTAGTTGGTGAAAAACAATATTTTGTGATTTTTTTTATAATAAAAAAATAATTTAATTGGTTAGTAAAATAAAATAAATAAATTAAATGAAACAAATATAAAAAAGAATAAAGAAAGAGATTGGGCCTGAACAAAGCAATTTGGGAGGTGTGAGAAGCCAAATCTGGGCCCAAAACATGGTGGTCCATGTTGACTCCCCAGATCTGATGCTACGCGTTGACTGCAGCCCATGATGGTCCCTCATTGCTGGCCATTGGATTTGGCCATCTGGCCACTTGGCAGACTAAATGATGATGGACCATGGTGGTCATTAGCTTCATGTGCACGTTGGAACCTGAAAAGTGAAAATATATGAAAGAAAGGGGGGACCTGAGATTCGAACCCAGGTCCTGAGGCACGTTCCAGTGACTGGCTACCAGCTGAGCTAGTTGTTCTTTTTGTATATTAAATATCAATAATAAATAATATGCAAAATAAAGGAAGTTAGTGGAGAACAATGAAAATGCGCGCTAGAATTCATACGTTCCAATGGAAAGGTGACACGCAGGTCATCTCTAACCTTATTTCGTTGGTAAAAGTCCCAGACTTTTACCTACAGACATTGGTTCGTCACTATATCCCTGCAATTTCTCAAAATCAAGAATGAGTATGATAAATGAAAACTACGGCCACCGATAATTTCGTCTGGACCTCCTGAGTATAATGGTGGCCCTTTTATGGCCTAATTTTGCCTGCACATAAAACTCCTAAATCGAAGCTATAAACCATAGCCATGGTGAAATCTTATACAAGCCAGATAAATGCAATTAAACAATATAGAAAGCTTGTAAATGTTCTATGGATCAAGAATATATCATTAATTCATGCTATCAATGCCTAAATCATGCAACTGAATTAAATATATAAGCAATGTCGTGATGGACTTACAGTGAGATATAGGGCTTGGGAACGCTTGTTCTTGATTGCTTTCGCTTGCCTACACTCCCAGGAATCGATTGGGATAGCTAGAAGGCCTTGAGGATGTCTAGAAGTATGAATTCGTGTTTGCACTCTCTTGGTATTTTTTCAAGTTTGGTTCTGGTTCATACGCCTCCTTCTCACCTTTCTTTAGGTCTGCATATGTTCTATATGTACTGTGGAGTTAATTAGGGTTAAAAGAATGTGCTCAATCTTCCTCCATCAATGAATTTGATTTTGATTTGATACACCTTGAATATATTTCCAAAAATGGCCTAATTCAATCTTTTTGTGCACACCATGCCTTTACACGAATTTGATCTGATGCTAGCTGGACATTAAGACCTGAAACAAACACAAGATCTTTGAATTTCAATGTTTTGGATTTTATATGATTTGTTTTGATTTAAAATGATTTAATTCAAATAAAAATCAAAATAAATAATATAAATAAGATAATTACAAGTGGAAAAGGCTAGGGCTCGTGGACCATGTTGCCAACTTAAAACAAGTGAAAAAGATTGGGCCCATTTGGCAAAAATTGAAGTTTTAGGAATAGTTGACTTTTGACAATTTTGCAAAAAAGGTCAACTTCACCAATGCATAACTTCCTCAATTTTGACTCTTTGGAGGTGTACTTGAACTTTTTAGAAAGCTTGATATGTCCTCTAAGCAACCATTTTGGTCTCATCTAAATTTGGTATTCCATGTTCATGTATGATGCTTTGACAAAAAATGTGTTTTTGTTGACTTTTCAAAATGACCTATAATGTCCAAATTTATAACTTCTTGTGAGTGAATTTTTTGAACTTGGGAGATGAATATGTATTGTAGAGAATTGCATCCTATTCAAAATGATCTTTGTATGTGTCATTTATCATAAAGTATGATAAAGTTATGCTTGGTCAAAGTTGGGTTGACTTTTCCTACAAAACCCTAATTTAGCAACTTTTGGTTCTTGATGAATTATGAGCAATCCTTGATGAATCATGATCAACCCTTGATCAAATGATGAAATATACTTCAAAATGATGATGTTGACCAAAAAATCTTGAAGTTTGACTGTATGTGGGCCACAGTTGACTTTTGCCCTAGCACAGTCGATTTTCAGGCCTTTGAGCAATTGACTGAGCAAACTTTCTCTGCAAGGCTTGAAACTTGACATGGATGATCTTGAGAACATATTAGGACAATGGTGAGCATTTGGGATCCCTTGGAATCAAGTATCTTGATGCAACATGAAACCCTAATTTGAGGTAGACTGCCTTAGGAGGGAGCTTGTCTGGTCAACCCTTGGACTACCTTGAGCATCTTATGGATCTTTCTTGAAATGTTTTGAGAAATATAAGAGGGAAAATTTTGGGGTACAACAGCGTGGTTAGCAAAGACCAAGGCGATTGAAAAGGTATATGGAAACTGGGAGGATTCATACCAAGAACTTCCTTGCTACCTGAATGCACTCAAGACTTATTCTTTAGGTACTGTTTACATTCTGGAAATAGTGCCAGCATACGCCCCGAATGGTAGTCAACTCAACAGAAATGGAATATTTAGTCGAGTGTTTTGGGCTTTTCAACCTTGCATCACAGGGTTTGCGTGATGAAAACCAATTATCCAAATTGATGGGACTTGGTTGTATGGGAAATACAAAGGCACACTACTGATGGCATTTGCACAAGATGGTAACAACAGCATTTTCCCAATTGCCTTTGCCCTAGTCGAGGGGGAGTCTGGTGGTGCTTGGAGCTTTTTTCTCAAAAACCTGCGAACACATGTGGCTCCTCAACCAGATCTCTGTTTGATCTCGGATAGACATACATCCATTGAAAGTGCATACAATAATCCTGCAAACGGTTGGCAAGACCCTCCTTCTACGCATGTCTATTGCGTTAGACATATCGTTCAAAATTTCACGAGGGAGATCAAAGGCAAAACACTTAGGAAAGCGGTTATGAATGTGGGATATGCATTGACACAACCTACGTTCAAATATTATCGCAATGAGATCCTTTGTCAAATCCGAAAGCTGGTAGGTGGATCGATAATATTCTGGTAGAAAAATGGACTAGGTCATACGACAATGGACAAAGATGGGGTCATATGACAACAAATCTAATTGAATCGATGAATGGGGTATTCAAAGGCACACGAAACCTCCCGGTCACTGCTTTGGTTAAATCAACATATTTTAGGATGGCTTCGTTGTTTGCCAAAAGAGGTGAAATATGGAATGCGGTGTTGCAATCTGGACAACTATGGAGTGAAAGTTGCATGAAGTACATTAAGACAGAAAGTGCCAAAGCCAACACCCATATGGTTATACGGTTTGACCGACACAGCCACAACTTCATTATCAAAGAGACAATCGACCACAACGAGGGCCTGCCAAGACAAGAATATAGGGTTGTACTACCTTCTCGTTGGTGCAGTTGTGGCTAGTTTCAAGACTTTCGTATGCCTTGCTCTCATGTCATTTCCGCGTGTGCTTATACTCATCAAGACGCGCTACAACTTCTGTCACACATTTACAAATCTGAAACGTTGCTCAACGTTTACAACAACAACTTCCCTTTGGTAGCAAAACCAGATTATTTACCTGCATACGACGGAAAAATAGTATGGCACAATGACCAAATGCGAAGGAATAAAAAGGGTCGTCCCAAAAGTAAGCGCATCACAACCGAAATGGACTCCCTTGACAAGCTGGAAAGAAAGTGTGGTTTATCTCGTCAGGTCGGACACAATCGCAAAAATTGTCCGAATCGGGCTACTGCCTCAACCACATAAAAATTGTATTACAAAAAATATTTCCTTTATTATGTTGTAAACATTAGGGTTTTTCGTTAACAGTATTTGTTACAATAAACATTGCGCGAACAAGAAAAAAAACATGATAACCGTCTACGAAATTACAAGTTAAAACAATTTCATCTGACCCATGCATCATCAACATTACATCGCTGTCTGTTTTGACTTCCTCCAACCAAAAATTAGGTCTTCCTGTCGCAAGTGAGGTTGTTGTTCTTCTTCGTTGGATCCTTCTAATTTTCCCCCTCGACGATGTCTCCCTCTAGCCATCGCATTAACTCCCTCTTCAGACGCTCCATGGAGTGAATGTGCCAGAATTTCATTTTCATCAGAGGTTTTGTGGCGGAGAAGATAACGTAACCATCTCTGGTAAAAATCATGGGCGATGTCATGATGCAAATAACAGAGTAAAAAATTAGAAAACAATGTGAGAAAGTGTGAGAAATGACGGAGAAACGGACGAATTATTTATAAAAACAGCATTTTGCCTTAGGAGTCAAGTGAGATGGCGCATCCTCTCACTTTTAAAGTACATGCGCCATCTCACTTGGCTAAAAGAGAGAGGAGACGCCAAGTGGGATGGCGCCTAGGGCAAACTTGTGAGTGGAGGCGCCAAGTGAGATGGCTTCTCCCTTAAGGAGTCTTCTGAAACATGATTATTTGCGTAATTTTTTCCGAAATATAGTTATTTGCGAAAAAAATTTTAATACTTGATTATTCCAAAAATGAAATTCTACAAACAAAGTGTCCTTTTTAAACAATAGTACATATTAATTTTTAAATATCATTATTTTAATTATCGCACCAACCCCATCATGCACCAACATGAATATTAGGCTAGTTTACTATATAAAAAAAACCTCTCAAATTTAGAATTGAAAAAAAACACCGAAAGTCCTAAGTAATTTTTAGAATCAACCAAAACAAGTGAGTAAAAGACAAATGTTACAAATATTAATGAAATTAAATTTTAGGCACCATGTGAATTTCTACACATACACATCGTTATCAAGCATGATCAATATTAATCTACAATTAGAAGAGACTTATTATAATGGCAACAATAATGAGTCCCACAAGTATATTTTTAATCACATTTTGGTAAAGAATCATCAAGGAGTGGTTGTTGAGCTTGGGTAGCCATGGCTAATTCAAATTGCTTTAAAGTAATTGGATTTAAAGTAAGTAATTCAGGTGGCTTAACATTGTCCCAACCCTTAACATTATTTGTGGTTGTTGACCCATCAAGTCCAATATGTGTTACATGCTTCACATCGGTTGGATACCCAATTTCCATGTCTTGTTCCATCTCTTCAATATGCTCTTTGTAAACTAAATCAAATTAAAAGTCAAGGGAATATTCATCATATATTACAAATTCAACATGAGTAGACAACATCACATTCTAACACATAGTATGTATTACAAAATTAATAACCAAGCAATGAAAAATATTCACACATGATTAATGATATTTTTACATTTCTTATAAATATTATTTTAATTTGGTTAAAATATTCTCATATTTTTAAAAAATCAAAATTAAAGATAATTTATATATAAAATTCATATATCTCAATTCAACGAGATCATATTTCTAAAAAATAAAGTCACGGAGATTATCACATCTAAAATAGATAAAATTTAATAACTGCATATATTCTTTTTTGTTTTTATTTAATATTTAATTTTTTTTATTATCTCTTTACTTTATATTTTTTTACTATATCCATTATTTGGAATATAAGATATTATTTTCTCTTTAATTTTAACCTTTTACATTTTAACTGAATTAATTCAAATACAATTGAAAAATATTCTTATATCAATTTATAAGTATGAGTTAGTGAAGATGCCAATGATATAAACACTTTACATTTAATATATTAATTAATTTATTATCAGTTCTCATTGGTTTTTTCAACTATCAACTATAAATTAATTTGTTATTCACAAATAAAAAATAATAATATTATAATATTTTGTTACAACTTATTATATATGATAAGATACCACCTTTAAATCAATAATAATAATAATAATAATAATAATAATAATAATAATAATAATAATAATAATAATAATAATAATAATAATAATAATAATAATAATAATAATAATAATAATAATAATAATAATAAATAAAATAATAATAAAGACCCAATGCCATAGAGAATCATATATCATAAGAAAAAAAATACACCTACTATAGTATAAACTGTGCAATTAAAAATTAATTTATATACTACATATATAATTTGGTATTCTGTTGGGTATAGAAAGAAAACAAAATTCAATATAGAAACAAAAACAACAAATCCACAATTTCTAATTCCAACAACAAAAAATTTGCAAATAAAATAAAGTAGAAGTTGATAAAAACTCACAAAATAATTGAGAAAAAGTCTTGATACCCTTGATCAATCTCTGTATGCCAGCAGCTACATGAGCCTTTGGAAGAACAAAAAATCCAGAAGACCTTTTTTTCTCCATTTTAGTTCTGATGATTTGTCCTTCTTGTCTTCCTTGCAAAAATAATGACAATAATAACTCAAATTTACACATTTAGAACTCCAATCACCTAAGAAAAGAAAAAAATATGAATAAACATAGAAAAATAAATATACTTGAAACAATTGAGTCTTTTGAATCTTTGGGTTCACCTAACTCCACACTTGAATGTGAAGCACATTTGAAAGAGAAAGGAAGAACAGCAAATCTTTCCATATAATTTCTCATAATTTCTAATAAAATCCAAAATATTTGTTTGTATGGTATAGCAAATTCTAATGCTATAGTTTGAGAGAGAATAATAGAATATCCTAGCTATGATTAATGAATAGAGAACCTACAGTTGGTGTTATATTTAGGTTCCTATTTGTCTTTGTAAGCAAGCTAGAATGATTAATGTGGGGAATTAATAAATTATTTTTAATCCAAGTTTGGTATGTGAGATATAAAGTTTAAATTAAATTATAGTGGAGTGGGTATATGTCATTAGTGTAAAAGTTGTTAGTTGGTTAAACTGTGCTACTCAACTTGCTTTAGAGTTTCTGTATACTAAACCAAAATTGATTTTTAACAATAATTAAATATAAAAAATTTATTATATATAATTTAACATAAATGTTTATTACTGTAAGATTATTAATTGTGTTTTTTTTTTCAAATAATAATAAAAGTGTTGTCTTTTTATACTTTCTCAAATAATAATATTAATGCCTATTTTAAAGTGGGCTCCTCCTTACTTGAATCACTTGTATACTAAGGTATTCTTTTTGCAGACTTTTCACTTTTCATCATAATAAAGTTTTTGTTTTTCTCATTTTATAAGTTTTGTTGGAACTTACTTCATTAGGTAACAATTTTTGAGCCAATGATTGAGTCTTTACTTGTATATAATCAACACATGTCGTAGAGTGAATCACAAGGAAATTCCGCAAATAATAGTCAAGCACGTGACCAAGGTATTTGTTATTGTCCCCTCCTTTATGGGTTGGTAAAGGCCCCTCTTATTGGCCATATGTCCGTTTTGCCATACACGAATACAAGCGGATCAAGGGTTTAGCTCAGTATCCTTTAATATTCAGAAATTTCTTTGTATATTTTTTAATATTAGAATTTTTTTTGAAATATTTGAAAATATCTTTTGAAGATGTATTTTTTTCACTATTCATGCTAGATTTTTTTATCTAAAATTTACTTAGATATGAAACCCTTCTCAATTCCCCTTTAATCATAGACAACGGTTGAATACTGTTGTAACCGACAAAAAAAAAGAGTCGCTACCATTAATTTTTGTTCTAAAGACGGAAAAATAACGGGTAATCCTAACTTGTCAGAGATTCTACATTCGTGAGTTGGTTAGATGAAGGAAAGATGTTAGACACCCTTCATTTACCTTGTTCTCAAGGGGCTCCATTTTTAGGTATAGGGGATAAAACGAGAATTTTCTATTTAACTACATTGTTTCCATGTGCTTGAGAAAATATTTAATTTTTTAGTTGAGGGACTCGCCTTGGTTTTTAAGCCGTGTGCCTACGTATCTCCTTATGAAGAATCAAAGTCTAATTTCGTAGTTCGTAGGTTTGGTTGGTGTTTTTTATAGGATTGCATAAAATTGCTTTCGAATTTACCCTTAAACCTTGTCTGGGTTTGAAAAGTGAGTGATCGTCGATGCAGTTTGCATTTAAGTTTGAAAGTAATGCTATTTCATCCTTTTTCGAAAATAATATTGAGTTTTGTTAAGTTATTAGAAAAAAAATTTGATGGTTTGGTTAGGTATTTTAATATTTCATTTGGTGGATTGAAGAAGAGTTTATCTTCTTTGGAACTCGATTGCGCTAGGCGAAGAAATTGACCTTAATTTGTTATTAAATTTTATATGTTTTGATTTGAATAATTAATTGGTAAATGTTAAGTTGACCAATCGATTATTCGAGGATATCCTACTATTTATAAAAATACTTGAATTAATTGTGAAAATGTGTTCGATTTTATGTATTATGTTTAGTATTTTTATTTAAAAGAAAAGAAGACATGTTTTTGAATTCTAACATTTTTGAAGACTAAAGTAAATAATATAAATTAATCAAATAATATGCTTTAGCCTAAATGACTAGGGGTAAGAGATGTTGGTGCACAAAGAAGAGATGAAAGGCAAAAGAAATATATTTAATGACGGCTACAAAAAATAAGGAATAATGATTTACAATGATTATATTGACCTACCTCACTAGGCTATTTATACATAAAATTAAGGTATAATAAAATCCTAAATATTCTCTAACAAAGATATAAAAAGATCTAAAAGGATATTCCTAAAATATAAATTAATATCTAAAAATATATTCCTAAAATATAAATTAATTTTAACATTATCCCTTAATTTATATTTACACAAAACTGACAACACCAATTTCATCCCTCAAACGAAGAAATTGACCAGTCTTGATAACCTTTGTTAGAACATTTTTCAGCTGCTTCTGAGTGCTACAGTGCACAACTTCTAATATTCCACTCTGAACTTGATTCCTCAGAAAGTGATATTTAGTCTCAATATGCTTGCTTCTCCCATGCAGCACTGGGTTCTTGGCAAGATTGATTGCAGACTTGTTATCAATCATCAACTTCAGAGGTTTGTCTACTTCAATTTTTAGATCTTCCAGCAAGTTTAGAATCCACACAGCTTGGCATGCAGTCAGAGCACCTACAACATATTTAGCTTCACAGGTTGACAGCACAATAACATGTTGCTTCTTAGAACACCAATAAATAGGACCTCCCAGAAATTTGAATAAGTACCCAGAAGTACTTGTTCTGTCAACTCTATCCCCGCACCAATCAGAGTCTGAATAACTCAGAAGTTCTGATTCGATCTTTCTTTCAGAAGGAAATAACACTTCATACTTCAGAGTTCCCTTCACATACCTCTAAATCCTGACAGCAACTTGATAATGAAACCACTTTGGTTTACTCATAAATCTGCTAACCATTCCAATTGCATATCAAATATTAGGTATGGTATTACACAAATACCTCAGAGAACCAACTATCTGTTTGAAGGTTGTAGCATCCACATCCTCTCCATCAGAATCAGAGTCCAACTTCTTATTCGTGTCAGCAGGTGTGATAGCAACTTTGCAACTCTCTAGCTTAAATCTCTTTAGAAGCTCAAGTTCATACTTCATCTGATGCAAAATGATTCCTTTCTCAGAATACTTAAATTCCATCCCTAGAAAGAAACTCATTTTCCCAAGATCTATCATCTCAAACGCATTCATCAGAACTTTCTTGAACTTAACTATCTCTTGTTCAGAACTTCCTGTGAGTAATATGTCATCAACATACAAACATACCAGAATCATATTACCTTCTGAAGCATGCTAAACATAAACACCATACTCCATCTCACGCTTCTGAAACCCTTGTCCCTTGAAAAAAGAATCAATCTTCAAATTCCAAGCTCTGGGTGCTTGCTTCAATCCATACAAGGCTTTGTGTAATTTGAACACCATCCCTTCCTGATTCTTTTTCTCAAATCCAAGAGGTTGTGATACGTATATCTCTTCTTGTAATGGACCATTCAGAAATGCATATTTTACATCTAAGTGCATCAGAGGCCAATTCCTGTTATCAGCTATTGCAATCACTAATCTGATTATTTCATGTCTCGCTACAGGTGCAAACACTTCAGAGTAGTCCAGCCCAGACTTCTGTAGAAAGCCTCTTGCTACTAATCTTTCTTTGTGTTTTCTAATTGATCAATATGGTTTTAGCTTCTGCTTGAAAACCCATCTGACGTTGATGGCTTTCTTGACTTTTGGAAGTTCTGTCAGCTTCCAAGTCTTATTCCTTTCTATAGCATTAAGTTCTTCTTTCATGGCCTCCAACCAAACTTGCTGCTTAAGAGCCTCTTCCGTACTCATGGGTTCAAAGTCTACTAACATATCACACTGAATAACTTCTTCTTCAGAGTCTACTTCAGTGTCTTGTAACATGTCAAACTCTACAAATCTTCTTGGGATGCTTCTGACTCTTTGTTGCCTTTGAACTGGAACTCCAGGACCTTGGACACCAGAACTTTCCCCTTCAGAAGTGCTTGCTTCAGAATTGGACTTTCTCCAGAACATTGACTGTCTTCAGAGTCTGGATCACCATCAGAGTCAGAATCATCTTCTCCTTATGTATCTTCTTCAGAGTCAGAGTCTTTACCAGCTTCAGAAACATGTGTTTCTGACTTTTCTCCAGGAGTTCTCTCACCAGAGTCAGGACGAGACCTTTCCCAATTCCAAACTTCTGATTCTTTTACAATGACGTCTCTGCTGAACTTAACTTTGTTAGTTTCTGGATAATAAAGTTTGTACGAACCTGTATTATGGTACTCCACTAGTAACAGTACTTTACTTCTATCGTCCAGCTTTTGTCTTCTGGCTTCTGGGACATGTTTGTAACATACAGAACCAGACACCTTCAGATGACTAACACTTTGCTTATCTCCAGTCCACTTATGAATAGGAACTATTTCCTTCAACTTCTTTGTTGGACATCTATTAAGCACATAACATGCAGTGGCAACAACTTCTCCCCACAGAGTATGAGGAAGCTTCTTCTCTTTCAGCATGCTTCTCACCATATCAAGCAAAGTACAGTTTCTTCTTTCAGTAAGACCATTGTGTTAAGGAGTATAGGGAGCAGTAACCTCATGCTCAGTTCCATTCTCTTCACAGAATGCTTTAAATTTTGTGGAGTTATACTCACCACCACCATCAGTTCTGAGAATCTTCAGAGTCTGACCACTCTGATTCTCAACCTTCAGTCTGAACTTCTTAAATTCATTAAACACCTCGTATTTGAACTTTATGAGAGATACCCATGTCATTCTGGTGAACTCATCAACAAATGACATAAAATATTTATTCCCTCCAATCGATGCTACTGGAAATAGACCGCACACATCAGAATGCACTAATGCCAAGGCATGCTTTGCTCTTGGAGCTACTTCTGATGCAAATGGTAATCTTAGTTGCTTCCCTTTCATGCACACCTTGCATGACTTATCAGGCTTCCTTATTGTAGGAATTCCATGTACCAGCTTCTTTGATTTCAGATGTCCTAAGCTTTTGAAATTCAGATGACCAAATCTTCTGTGCCACAGCTCACTCTCCTTGACAACACTTGTTGCACTAAGGCATTCAGAGTCTGCAGTTCTAACATTCACCTTGAATTTTTTGTTCTTT